TTCCTTTTTAAATTCAGTGTTGAGTTACAAACACGGTCACCCAAGAAGACAACTATGACTATTATCTTGATATTTTATTCCACCATATTGAAGCTATTATTAAATAGTACTATTTTTAAAAATACTATTATTAAACTATATACATATTTTATAAAATATATAATTTATAAAAAATAGATAATTTATATATAGAGTCATGCATTTCTTAACAACCTGGCTATGGTGTGAGAAATGTGTTGTTAGGCGATTTCATCATTGTGCAAACATCATAGACTGTACTTACACAAACCTAGATGGTATAGCCTATTGCTCCTAGGCTACTAACTTGTACAGCACGTTACTGTACTGAATACTGTAGGCAACTGTAAAACAACAGTAAGTATTTGTGTATCTAAACATATCTAAATATAGAAAAAGTACAGTAAAAATACAACATGAAAGATAAAAAATGGTACACCTGTATGGGGCACTTACCATGGATGGAGCTTGCAGGACTGCAAGTTGCTCGGGGTGAGTCAGTGAGTGGTGAGTGAGTGTGAAGGCCTAGGACATTACTGGACACTACTGTAGACTCTATCAACACTGTATACTTAGGCTACACTAAATTTATTTTTAAAAACATCTTCTTTCTTCAATAATAAAGTAACAGTTTACTGTAACTTTTTTACTTTATAAACTTTTTAATTTTTTTTAACTTTTTGACTCTTTTGTAATAACCTTTAGCTTGAAGCACACATTGTACAGCTGTACAAAAATATTTTCTTTGTATCTTTATTCTCTAAGCATTTTTCTATTTTTAAATTTTTTTTTTTTTTAAACTTTTTTATTAAAAACTAAGACACACACATTAGCCCAGGCCTACACAGGGTCAGGAGCATCAATATCACTGTCTCCCACCTCCACATCTTGCCCCACTGGCAGGTCTTCAGGGCAACAACAAGCAGGGAGCTGTCATCTCCTATGCTAACAATGTCTTCTTCTGGAATTCCTCCTGAAGGACCTGCCTGAGGCTCTTCTTGAGGAGCTGTCACTCTCTTCAGAAATATGTCCATGGTGGTCTGCTTGGTTTGTTTCCTTTTTTCATCATAGATTTGCTTGTAAGCAGATAATGCACCATGAACATTCCTCTCTATAAATGAAACGCTTTCAGTGTTGGGGTCAATGTTTTCAAACTTTTTAAGGATCTTGTTTTTATTTTTTAATTTTTTTTTTTTAAAGATTTTATTATATTTTCCCCCCAAAGCCCCAGTAGATAGTTGTATGTCATAGCTGCACATCCTTCTAGTTGCTGTATGTGGGACGCGGCCTCAGCATGGCCGGAGAAGCGGTGTGTGCCCGGGATCCGAACCCGAGCCGCTAGCAGTGGAGCGCGCACGCTTAACCGCTAAGCCACGGGGCCGGCCCTTAATTTTTTTAAATTGAGGTAATATTGGTTTATAACATTATATAAATTTCAGGTGCATATTGTTATATTTCAGTTTCTGTGTATATTACATCATGTTCACCACCCAAAGACTAATTACCATCCATCACCATACACATGTGCCCTGTCACCTCTTTCAGCCTCCTCCCTCCCCCCTTCCCCTCTGGTAACTACCAATCTAATCTCTGTATCCATGTGTTTGTTCGTTGTTCGTTTTTATCTTCTATTTATGAGTGAGATCATGCAGCTCTAGGAGCTCCTCAATGTCATCTTCATCCACACACAGGTTAAAGTTGTTTGCCATCTCAATCACAGCCTTGTTGATTTTTGCAACCTCTTCATCCTTGGCAGATCTTTTGAAGTCAAGGTTGAACCTCTTGAGTGTCTTCTTCCAGATACTATCCGTACACTCCTTGGTGACATCACCTCAAGCCAAAGCAAGGTTCTTGATACAGTCATAGATGTTGTGATCCTTCCAGAATTGCATCAGTGTCTTCTCAGTATCTTTGTTAGTTGCAGCAATAGCATGGGCAAAAGTCTCCTCAGGTAGTAGGCCTTAAAAGCTACTATAACTCCTTGATTCAATGGTTGGATCAAAGAGGTGGTGTTTGGAGGAAAAAACACCACTCTGATATTGGAATGAAGATCGCCAATAAAAGGAGAATATCTGGGAGCATTATCAACAATAAGCAAAATCTTGAAAGGTATGTTATTCTCCATTTTACTGGCATAGCAATTCAGGAGGGCATCTTGGAAGAGAAGGTGGGTCACCCATGCCTTCTTACTGCTCCTGTAGTACACTGGCAGTGTCTGCTTATCAATATGCTTAAAAGCCCTGGGGTTCTTACCATGTCAGGTTACAAAGGGTTTCAATTTGTAGCCTGCAACACTGCCCCCAAGCAAGACTGTTACCCTGTCCTTAAAAGCTTTGAAACCTGGCAGTGACTTGGTCTCTTACAGATGAAAGCCCTTCTAGGGATCCATTTCCAGAATAGACAGGTTTCATCCATATTGAATATTTGTTCTGGCAAGTAATTTTCCTCCACAGTTTATCCAGAATTCCAAAAATTCTTCAGCTGTCTTCACATCAGCACTTGCACTTGTGACTTATTTTCATATTATGTAATGAATATTGATTCTTAAATCATTTAAACCACCCAGAGCTAGCAGTAAATTCAACACCACACAGTAGTCAGGTCCAGCCTTTTCTTTCAACATTGCAAACAAACTTCTTGCTTTGGCCACAATCATCATGGTGCTCGGAGGGATATGCTTCTGTGTCTGGTCTTCAAACCAGGTCACTAGAAGTTACTCCATGTCTGATATAGGCCCTTCTTGAATTTTTGTGAGTCTTGTTGCCTTCAATTAAGCAGATCCTTTAACAGCTTCTGTTACTTTCTTCTTGTTCTTCAAGATCGTAGCTGTGGTGGAATGGGACCTGCCTGACTGGCAAGCAATAGCCATCACTGATTTTCCACCTTTGTAGTCCTTAATCACGTTTAATTTCATTTCCAGGTCAATCACTCAATGTGACCTCTTACTGGAAACATTAGCAGTGGATTTTGTATGCTTAGAGGCCATGAAGAACAAAACAGTGTGAGATTAAATCAAGCACAAGAGAAAATGATGCAAAAAAAGAGACACAGTAAACATGAGATGTATGAGGCTGCTGCCGGCATAACATCACATACTGTTTTACAGTAAAAATTTTTTTTAAGTAGAAAGAGTACACTCTAAAATAATGATAAATAGTAAACACATAGACTGCTAACATAGTCATTTATTATCATCAAGTACTATGTACTGTACATAATTATATGTACTATACTTTTATATGATTGGCAGCAGAGTAGGTATGTTTACACCAGCATTTCCACAAACACATGTATAATGTGTTGCGCTATGATGTTACGATGGCTACGTCACTAGGGGATAGGAATTTTTCAGCTCCATTATAGTGTTATAGGAGCACCATTGCGTATGTGGTCTGTTGTTGACTGAAATGTCATTATGTGGCATATGACTGTAGTTAAAAAATTCTGGTCACCTTTATTTCTAATTTTACTGAAGTACGGTGAAAGAAATTTGGCCCATAAAATCTCTATAAAATGTTTCTGTGGCAAGGTACAATTTTAATTTTGTGAATTTTACACAAAAATTTTTATGCAAGGGACATATGTCATTATATATTAAAATCAATTTACTGATTCCTTTTTAACCCTAAATTTTAGGTTCAGAAGTTTACATATTTTTGGCATGTTGTCACTTTAACTTCTCTTCACTTTTGGTTGACCATTTTTTAATTAAAGAATACCAGGTCAATTGTTTCTCAATAAAACTGGGGGGGGGGATACTTTCCCTACAAAGAAATTATTGAGCACATGACAGAAATTAACGTTTTTATTTTCTGAATCTATCTTCAAAACATTTGGCAACCATAAATCACCTAGAAACTGATATAATACTTCTGACTCAGTGCACACAGATGATTCATATATTCAAACTGGCCAGAAACACACACAGAGACACACACAATTACTTATACTCTCTTCAAATTTTCTCTGCAGTTTTATCAATTGCACATTTTCAATGAAATATTTTTAACATTTACTGAAGAGATTTCAATAAATCACTTCCCAAACTTGAAATCTTCAGAGCCCTCATTAGCCCAGTTGGCTTTATTCTCATTTGCACAATCATGGCAACTTGCCTTCAAAATAAGATTCAACATGCCCAGTGAAAATCATCCACTTGGACCTATCACTGGCATTAGTTTTATCTATAATTCGGGGGAAAAGAAGCTTATTCAGGTCCCCTTGCTTAATTAGGATTTTTCACAATTTTATGTCCTCCCTAAAAGGCAATGTACAGAAAGCCCTTGCTGTTTCTGTATCTGTACATTCATGGACTGACTGAAGGTTCCCTTGGGATGGGGAGCCAGTTTCCCAGCCATCAACAATTGTTCCCCCAGACCTTCAGTCACTGCCAGGTGTGCTGCACTCTCTGGCTTAATCCTCATAGAGATGGCTCCACTTAGGGTCATCTTGTGGGGAGAGAATTTTACTAAGGGGTAATCCCTATCAAATGTCACTTTAGCTTTCTCAATTTCTTTCTCCAGGGAATTTACTTTTATTCTCTCAGGTTATTTTTTACTAACTCTCTGGCATCAGAAGTTTCAGGTCCATGATAATCCATAGGATTAGAATTCATGGTTTAGGGGCAAAGGCCAGAAAGACAAGTAAACCAAATCTAAAAAGCTCAATCAGTAGCTATATAAATCTTGCCTCAACTAAAAGCATTCTTGCAAGCTTAATTTAGGTGATGAGCACTTAGCCAGGGAAATGACTTCCCACTCAGAAGACTTCTATATTAGGGAACATATCCCAGAGAAAAAAGGTACGACTACATAAGGGGAGGAAAAATACCTCAAAAATAGAGCTCCTTTACACTGCTTTGGATATATGAAAAAAGTCCTCTATACGGCCCATTCATTCTCAATCCCTCATACAGAAGGATACCCTCATACCATTTCTGTCGTAAATTTCCAGTTCCACATTCCCAGGTAAATATTTTATTTTCAATGGGGACTATCTCTGGGAATCTAAGTCCTAAGGAGTGATCTGCTCATGCTTATCCAAAAGGAAATCTCATAACCCTGAGGAATCTTTGCTATCTTGTCACCCAGTCTTTCCTAAATGGTTAGACAAAAGAAATGAAAAACTTTTTCTTTGTCTTTGACTAATTTTTACTCATCAAATCATTTATTATACCAAAATAGCATACAATCCAAAAAAGAAGAAAACCAGGCATACACTTAAAAATCAAATAGATACACCCAGAATCCCTTTCAGTTCTGATCCACACACAAATATCTTATCACAATGGTTCTAGAAATGAACATTCTATACTCTTGTCCTGCATTTTTCACTTCAGATCATAGCCATTTTCCTAATTTTTACAACATCTTCACATATAAGAGAAAGTGCTGTATGAAACAGATTACAAACTAGCTACTGGAGAAATCATGTCATAAAAGGATACATTGAAGTTCTGTTTTCTGGCCTAAGTTCTAATAACTACAAAGATTTTCCAACCTTCTCAACAACAAGCCCACCAGTGCTAGCATTCTCATTTACTCTTTACTGGAACAGAAGTCTACTTCGCCGGCACTCACTCCACAGCATTTTGCCCATTTAATGGTAATTCTCTGAAATTTGGGTCTGAGTGCTTTCTGCATGAAAAGTGCCAATATTTTTTACTTTTGTGGGAATATGTCATAACAGCTAAGTTTTATTTTGAATATGCAATTGCTAAGTAAAATATGTGATTGGTAGTTTCCCCTCCTTTCTTCTCCAGAACAAATTTCCAGACACACAATAACAGAGAGCTAACTGAAAGCTTTTCCACATACGTTGTTTTTATACTAGTTCTTCCCAATAAAGATACTCCCTTGAAAGAGAGAGAACAAAAAAAGGAAAGAAAAGAATGAAAGAAACTCCAGCTGAAAGATTTCCACACTAGTTACATTCATAGCTTTTCTCTTCAGTATGAGTTGCCTGATGTCTAATAAGTTTAGAGCTATTAATAAAAGCTTTCCCACACTGACCACACGTAAAGGGCTTCTCTCCAGTATGAGTTCTTTGATGTACAATAAGTCGAGCACTCAAGCTGAACGTTTTCCCACATTGATTACACTCATAGGGTTTCTCTCCAGTATGAGTTCTCTGATGCTGAGTAAGGCATGAGCTCTGCCTGAAGGATTTCCCACACTGACTGCACTCATAGGGCTTTTCTCCAGTGTGAGTTCTCTGATGTACAACAAGAACATAACTCTGGCTGAAGGACTTCCCACACTGATTACATTCATAGGGTTTTTCCCCAGTATGAGTTCTCTGATGCATAACAAGGTGAGAACTGCGGTTGAAAGATTTCCCACACTCGCTACATTCATAGGGTTTCTCTCCAGTGTGAGTTCTTTGATGTGCGACAAGCTGAGAGCTCCAGCTGAAGGATTTCCCACACTGGTTACATTCAAAGGGTTTTTCTCCTGTGTGAGTTCTCTGATGGGCCACAAGTTTATAACTCTGACTAAAGGACTTTCCACATTGATTGCATTCATAGGGTTTTTCTCCAGTATGAATTCTTTGATGTGCAATAAGTTTATAGCTCTGGATAAATGATTTCCCACATTGATTGCATTCATATGGCTTCTCTCCAGTATGAGTTCTTTGATGTGCAATAAGTTTATAACTCTGCCTGAATGACTTTCCACATTGATTGCATTCATAAGGCTTCTCTCCAGTATGAGTTCTCTGATGCACAACAAGGACATAGCTCTGGCTAAAGGATTTTCCACACTGATTACATCTATAAGGTTTCTCTCCAGTATGAGTTCTCTGGTGGGAAACGAGGTGAGAGCTCCGGCTGAAGGATTTCCCACATTCGTTACATTCATACGGTTTCTCCCCTGTATGAGTTCTCTGATGCGCAACCAGATGAGAACTCCAGCTGAAGGATTTCCCACATTGGTTACATTCAAAGGGTTTCTCTTCAGAATGATTTCTCATGTGTTGAGCAAGGGATGAACTCTGGGAGGTTTTACTATATTTATATTGACTCTCTTCAACAGAGATTCCCTGTCGTTCATTATGGGATATGCTGTGGTTCAAAACTTGCCCACATTCTTTAAAGTCAAAGGATTTTCCTCTTGCATGTATTTTCTCATGCATATTTAGGGGTGTACCAAGGCTAAAAGATTGAATACTGTCACTAAATCCATAGGATTTATCTTCTGTTTGAGTTCTTGTAAACTGAATAAGGTGAATGCTCTGAGGGGGTTTCCCACATTCATCATTTTCACATAGTTTCTCACTGTCATTAATCATCTGATGATTATTCACAACAGAATTATGATGCAACTTTTTAACAGGTGAAGCATTTTGTTTATGAAAACAGTTTCTTATGGGTATCATCTGAGGTGAAAGAAGACTGGAATTCAGACCACTCTTCTCAAGTTCATCGCTTTTGCAGACTCTCTCAATGGAAACAGCTTTCCTTTGAGTAAATGCCACTTCCTTCAAAAGTCTCTCTTGTTTTTCCTGTTGCTTCTCCAACCGGTCCTTATAATCCTGAACTTCTTCACATGAAGATAACCAAGAATCATCTCTTGTCAACCTTTCTATCTTCACTCCATGGGATGGTTCATCATCAAAAATGCTCTGCTTTGATGTTGATTCTCTTCTTCCAAATGCAGTTGCCAAGTCTGGAAGAAAGCAAAATAAAATATCCAAGCCAAAAAATGTCAGATCTGGAATAGTGTAATGAAGGTGACAAGAAAGCATGCAAAATATATGTGGATTTGTTTTCAGTGACTATAACCTCGATTGAGAAAAAAAGGGTGGGATGAAGGAGTACACAGAGAACTACCACAGCCCAACAGTATAACAGGGCTTAAAATGGGACTATTTTAATGTTAGTTTTGCTGAATATGTAAGACTTTAGATGCCAAATATAAATCTCTGTATTCAAAAATAAGATCACCTATGCAGAACTACAAAATCTCAAAACAATTTTGTGATCCTTGGCAAAGAAATCAAGGGTCCTTTCCACCCTCTTTAGTGCTAAACATGTTTACTAAAATAGAGATTATTTCTAGAAATATCTGAAGGCATGAAACTTGCTAGCATAGTCTATATCAGTAAGACATGGGCAAACTATATTTGTGAACCAGGAAAAAGGATGGGGCCACTGTTATCCCAGTTCTCCAAATGCCTTAGAGGCTAATATGGCCCCAGGGATTCCTGTGATTTTGAGTAAGAGAGAACAGAGGTTAGCTCAGAAGCAGAAGCCTGGGTGGCTAGCTAGTACGTCAAGCAATAGAGAGTACCCGGAAAAAGTGATGATGTAGACGGTGCACTAGGAGGTGGGAGATGGAGGAAAATGTGGAACACCTTTCAATCAAAACTTCTACACCTGCAATGACTCCTATGTGTCTGTTTCTCACCTGGAAATTCTTCTTTATACTCATCCCCTTGCTCCAACTAGAAGATTGTGTCTGGTTTGAAAAGCTCACAGGGAAAGATACAGGACTTTGGGTACTGGGCTGAAGACAAAAGAAAATCACTGCAGATTTTGGTCCCAGTCTTTGGCCTTTAGGAACCATGATGATTAAACAAGCTCCAACCCATAAAGCTGACCCTTTTCTACCCTACAAACTAAAATTAAATCTTCACTGGAGAATAAAAAGCACAAACACAATCTATGTATGGCCAAGATCATTCTGACCTCTGAACCCCATAACTCTTAATCAATGGAAATCAGAAGTAATTTCAATATCCAGACTATTCAAGGGGACTGTACTCTTACCCCAAGAGACCAGGTCCCTGTGGTTCTCCAGGATCACATCTCTGTCCAGGGTCCTCTGAAGAGGGTTCAAAATGCCCTCTTCCTCCTGAGTGAAGTCCACAGTCACAATTTTGAAGTTCACTCCTTCCTGAAAAAGGACACACATTCCTGCTCAGCTGGGCATCACTTCCTTCCCATGTGCATAGAGGAGGAAAAGTCTGACAGATGAAAGGAAAACCTGATGGCCTGGAAGCTGTCCTGAGTGTTCAAAGGATTCTAGTCAAGGTGTCCAGGGAGCCCCTTTGGCCTTTGGATGCTGGACCTGTTTTTACAACTCCAAAGAGGAACACCAGATAACAACTGACATAAATTGTTTTCTCTCTTGTCCACCTTAAAGAAAATGCTTATTTTGATCTTTGCACTGGTGAAAACAGAATTTCCTCCAAATTCCAAATTCCCAAGAAACTAACACAACAAGACTCAGCAAACTTTTTCGCCCAAAGACCAGAGAGTAAGTATTTTAGGCTTTGCAAGCCATGCAGTTTCTATCAGAACTACTCAGCTGTGCTGCTGTAGCAAGAAAGCAGCCACAGAAAATATATAAAGAAATGGGCATGGCTGTATTACAATAAAACTGTATTTGTAAAAACAGGCGGTGGGCCAAATTTGGCCCACAAGCTTTACTTTGCTGAGATAGAAGATGAAATGTGGGCCTTAATAAAAGGCAGTATGAATAGGTTAGGAGCACAAGATTTGGAAGAAAAGAGACTTGGGTTTCTCACCTATAAAGAGCATATGTCTGAATTAAAAAATATATATCTAATCTGACAATCTGTCTTTTAATGGTGAGTTGATTCCATTTCTGTTTATTAGGCTTAATCATATCCAACTCATTGGGTTGTTCAGTGAATTAACTGTGATGATATATAAGAAGCCATTAGTAGAGTTTACTGAACAAAAAACAAAGAATGACAATTATTATTAGGATTATTAGGTCTGAGAATCCTGAAAAATTAACTGACAGCCAATGTGGCCTTTGTCCTGTAACCTGCATCTTCAGGTGACAGTTCTATTTTGTCAGAGCTGTATCATAGGGCCTTTGACATTCACTGTCATTACTGCCATATAAAGGGGGTCTCTTGGACTGCCTCCTCTAAGCAGGAAGGCACCTGCTTCCAAGACTATTGGGCAGGAATTTTGATCCAAAAAAGAAGGGCTGAGGGTGATGTGTCCTTACCCAAGGGCAGCAAAAGCCAGGGAAGTCCAATGCCACTTCCCACTAAAGACTTTTTAAATAGACCAGGTGTTCTTTAGCTGTGGGTCATGAATAGGACACAGGGTCCTGGAATCCCATGAAACTCCATGCAAAATGCTGCTGTCTGTACATTTTTCTAAGTTGGGGCCCATAAATCTTCAAGGTTTTCATGATTAGCCCAAAATGGGATTCAGAAATATCATTTGCAAACTGCCACCTGTGTTGAACATGGATCTACAGGTACTGTTTTTCAACTTCCAATCCATGCTTCCTTTTCATAAACAACCCCTACTTCACTGTTTAATGTAGGTCCCTTTAACATCAAGCTTGTTCAAATGTCAACTAAACAATATCAGACTAGATCAGCACATCCTGCTCCACTCCTGGCTATATGTTCCCAAAGTTCCATGGCCTTCTATCATAAGACTCACCACATTCTCTTATCATTTGTATAAAAAATGCAAACTGTCGGGGCCAGCCCGGTGGCGCAAGCGGTTAAGTGTGCGCGCTCTGCTGCGGCAGCCTGGGGTTCACCAATTTGGATCCCGGGTGTGCACTGACGCACCGCTTGTCAAGCCATGCTGTGGCGGCGTCCCATATAAAGTAGAAGAAGATGGGCTTGGATGTTAGCCCAGGGCCAGTCTTCCTCAGCAAAAAGAGGAGGATTGGCAGATGTTAGCTCAGGGCTGATCTTCCTCACAAAAAAAAAAAAAAAAAAGCAAACTGTCATCTTTGTCACTAGGCTACAATCCATAAGGGCAGAGACAAGGTATTTATAGTTTGCAGCTGTAATTCCAGTGCTTAGTGTAGTGTTGGTGTGTAGTAGATAATAAATATATATTTGGTAAATTATTTCAATATGAAAATCAATAGTATTAACAGACTGTAATATATCAAAATAATCCTGGTCCAAATTCTAATTTATGTCCTCTCCTCTCACCTGAATCTCACAAGGCCTATCATATACCCATGTGAAAAAGTCCTTCAATGTGTGGATACCAGCTCTTCTGGACTTCTATCCTCAGTTAGTCTATTCTTCCCCTCACCTGTCCCAAACTCTCCACTCCTCAAAATTCCTTCCCAAACCCTTCAACTGTGCCCTCAGGAACTCATTTTCTGCAATAATGAAATCCTACATCTTCATTCTTCACCAAATATACCCTCTTCATTCCTGTGTTAATGCAAACCTACACTTGCCCCTGAGGACTCCCTCCTCCAAAGTCCTCACAGGCTCAGTCAGGCTCTCCCATCCCAGAGGTCTCAGCATCAAAGAGAGAGGTGTGTGTCCTCCCAGTTACACTGAAACCCATGCCACTTACCCCACTCTTGGAGCTTTGTCCTACCAACCTCTTGAACACCACCACCCCCATCCACTGAAGACTCATACCTAGGATTTACTCTCTAATTCAAGAACTTACGTTGTCTCGTCTTGCATTGTCCATGGCATCCACTTGTTGGGTTCTCTAATAATAATATAAAAATAACTGACTTGAATGAAGCACTTACTTCGTGGTGTCAAGTGGTGTGCTAAGCATGTCGCATAAATTATCATTCATTTAATTCTCGCAAGGTCCCTGTGAGAAAATACTATTAGCAGCACCATTTTTCAGATGAAGAATTAGAAGCTTAGAGAAATTAATGCATATACCTGAGGTCGGTGGCTGAGATGCAACCTCAAGGTTGCCTGACATCAGAGACTGTTCTCAGTCATTGATTCATATGGTTAGCCCAACTCCCAGACCCCAGAATTGCTCTTCAGGACCCCACTCTTAGGGTGAGACCCAAGAGGATCCTGAAATCACCATGAACTACTCCACCTTTTAAATCACATATACACAACTGCCTACTCTTTGATTACATCAGATTACTACTATTTTTTATTACAACGTCAGATTATTATTATTTTTTATACAACACCAGGCTGCTCCATTACTCACTTCGCTCTTCTTGTTCTTTGATGGTCTGGTGCCATTACTCTAGGGAAACGTCTACTATTATTATCCTCTGGTCTATATTCTTTCCTTTCTAGTTAGTGTCCTCTTTACCTCTTCCATCTTACTTCAGTTTACAGTCCACAGATAATTCATTTTAATCTTTCTATTTGATATATTCAAAAATTCTCTTCAAATATTACATTGACCTATGGGGCTTCCACTGAATGTACCTCGGAGATTACAAAAACTAATCAAATCTGAATGTCAATCTGCTATCTATGGAAAGTAGGTTGCAGAATGCTCCTTGGGAAAAAAACTCCATGAAAGCAGCTGGACAGAGTATTAACAATTAATGGTCACTATCTTGGAATGATCCTTTCAGACTCACCAACAACCCTACTATACCTCCTGAGTAGCTTGTTCTCTCACAGTCTAAAATTGCTATTTTAAGCCTTCTTCATCCTTGTCAAATATCTCTCCATTCCAACTCCCACCTCACACCCAACAGATAACTTCATCTGATTGTTCACAGAGAAAAATCCAAGCCTTCAAACAATTCCCTCAACCTCATTCTTTCTATGTGAGTCCTTCTTCCTCTACAGAGCCAATACTCACATACGCTCTGAATTAATTCCCCTGGCACTAATCAAGGATTCCGCTTTCTAGTTTTATCTCCTCTCTCTCCAGACTGTTAACTTTTCTCCACTTACTGCTTTCTGCAACCACTTAAACACGGTCAAATCTTTTCAATCCTTTAAGAAAAAAAAATTAAGCCCCTCAACCTCTAATTTCCTTGCAGCTCTCATTCTCTTCCATCTTTCGCATAACTAAACTTTTGTAACAAAAGTTGTCCACTCATCTCCATTTCCTCACTTCCTACTCACTTCCAGCTCACCTCCATCTGGCTTCTGCCGCCAACAAGCCACGCATGTTTCTCAGTGTAAACAGCCCATGTCCAACTCACCTGGGATGGGACGGCCAGTGACTCAGCATCTTCTCTCTCGACCTTGATGATGATCTCTTGAGGAAGGAGAGAGTCCTGAGAAGACAAAACAGATGAGAAAAAGGAAAATAATCAGGGAGCTAACTCCTGGCTCAAAACTCCCACTGTGAGTAGGGTACGATTTGGTATACCACCTGTTTAAACACATCCCACCTACCAAACTTTTGCTCCCTCCCATTGGTAAGCTCAAGCTAGCCCTGTGGAGAGAGACAGGGGACATCTGGACGAGCACTGAGGCACCAGACCTGGGCATGAGGTCTCTGTGCATCTTCCAGGCCAGCCCAGCTACCAGCTGAATGGAGCTGAGTGAGTGACCCCAGGCACTACGTGGAAGAAAAGAACTGTCCCGCTGGGCCCTGCCTGAATTCCTGGGTCACAGAATGTAAGCAAATAAGATGGAATACAGCAGCACCAAAGAATGCTAAAGGAAAAGATCGACAAATTAACTTCATAAAATGTTTGGCAAAAAGGACCACCAATACAGGTACCGTCAATACGAATCTATACTGTTCAGATGTCTTCCAAATCAGTAAGAAAAACGCAGCCTCAACAGAAAACCAGATAAAGAAAAGTGCAATGGAACTCAACTACGAAGAAATAAAACGGCCAGTGAATACACAAAAAGATGCTCACCTCTTTAAATCAGATAAAGTCAAATCTCTGTTTCTAAAGCTATCTATAGCTCTATATATTAAAGACCAAAAATTCACGCTGATGCCTCCAATTACAATTCAACAACATAGTCCAGCCTTCCTGCTTTCTGTATTTATACCTTCCTTCTCTGGTTCCCATTCTCTTCTTTATTTGTACTTATCTGATCAGAACCCTGCATACAACCAAAATCTCAACTACATGGAGTGTTTCTTCTGCCTGTTGTGAGTGACTCTTGCCCTGGAGGCCCACGAGTCAAGCACTTCATCTACTCTTAGTGGAAGTTTAAGTTGATACAGCCTTCCTGGATTGACTATCTACCTATCTATCTATCTATCTAGCAATACAGACAGAGATATTTTTAATAACATCTTATTTTGAAATAGTTAAGACTCACAAGAACTTGCAAAAATAGAATAGAGGATTCCCATGTACCCTTCTCCCAGCTTCCCCCAATGACAGTACCATCCACAACCACAGTACAAAACCAGGAAACTGACATTGGTACAATAATTTTTAACTCAGGTACAAATTTTACTCAGATTTCATCAGTTTTTACATATACTCTTTGCCTTTATTTTTTTAATGGTAATGTTTCTTTTAATGTAGAGTAATATCCAATAAGTCTACCTGTAAGTATTTCCTTAGGAAATAATAGAAAGTACACTTAGATGTATGTACAAGAAATCTCATTAAATGGTTACATTATCAGAGCAAAAATGGGAGAGGGGATTAAATGTCCATCAGTAAGTTCTGGTTAAAGAACTTATCTTCATCCACATAACTGAATACTATTTAGCAGCCAAGAGAGGAAAAGATAGATTTGCATAGACTGATGCACATAAATGACAAAAAGATGTCTATAATATGTTGTTGAAGGAAAAATTAAGAACAGCATATAAACTATAAATTGATTTTTATAGAACATAAATATGCACAGAAAAGTCTGGAAGGACAGTGTCAAAAGCTTAATTAAAAGCAATTATTTTTTGGAGGGGTAGAACTGAAGGGCAGGTTCACTGTCTATGTTTTAATCCTGTATCTATTTTTTAAAAGACATTTATTTTCCTTAATTAAATATTCAGAAACCAGAAGAAAATGTTTCCCTCTTGAAAAATCACTTTGAAACAAGATAATTCCTTTGTACCTTCCTGAAATGTTTTTCTACAGAGCACAATAACACAACCTGTCAAAGGAGAGTCCATTCAAGTACACTTTGCTCCTTAATTTTTTTAACAGTTTTATTTTTTTGTGTGTGTGAGGAAGATCAGCCTGAGCTAACATCCGTGCTAATCCTCCCTTTTGCTGAGGAAGACCGGCTCTGAGCTAACATCTATTGCCAATCCTCCTCCTTTTTTTTTTCTCCCCCAAAGCCCCAGTAGATAGTTGTATGTTATAGTTGCACATCCTTCTAGTTGCTATATGTGGGACACGGCCTCAGCATGGCTGGAGAAGTAGTCCGTCGGTGCACGCCCGGGATCCGAACCTGGGCCGCCAGTAGCGGAGTGCGTGCACTTAACCACTAAGCCACAGCGCCGGCCCTATACTTTGCTCCTTAAATCTTCAAACACTGAAAAGCAAGTACTGAGCCAGCCCTCACGACCTAGTGGTTAAGGTTCTGCGCTCTCACTGCTTCAGCAGCCCGGGTTTGGTTCCTGGTCACCAAACCACATCAGCCGATTGTCAGTAGCCATGCTGTGGTAGTGGCAGCTCACACAGAAGAACTAGAAGGACTTACAGGTAGGATATACAACCATGCACTGGGGCTTTAGGGAGGGAAAAAAAAGAGGAAGATTGGCCACATATGTTGGCTCAGGGCAAATCCTTCCCACAAAAAAAAAAAAAAAAAAAAAAGAAAAGCAAGTACTGTTGACTCTTGATTATCGCTCATTTAGAGTCTCTGAATCATAAACCAGAAGGAAACAAACTATTGTACTTTTCATAGGTGTGCCTTATCAACCTAGAGCAAATTTCACTATTACATAATGGTTATTAAAAATGGCTAGCATTAATGTGTTTAAAGTCAGAAAAGGATTTCTTCAAACCTAAAAACATCTCTGCACACTTCCTGGGTAAGTGCTGAGTATTCAAAGAGAATACATGGAGTATTCAAAGAGACAGAGCCGCCACAATGTAAGGAAGGCCCAGTGTGCGAGCTTGGATGCTACGCTGCCTGCGTGACTGCCAAGCACCAACACCAGCAGGGTTAAATTGCCTTAACATCGCTGGTGGGCATTACTATATAGCCCCAAACACCACAGAACAAAAACAATCAAACCCAACTCACAATGCCAAAGGAACAACAACACAATTACAGATGGTCCAAGGGAGACAGAAGTTTTGACCCCAAACTGTTAACAAACTCAACCATATCATGGAAACTCGGCTGCAAAGAGAAATCACATTCCTAACGTGTGACAATGCGAAACACGTCTTTTCTTGCTACAAAAGTGGTTGACACTGAATTCTAACAATTTAGGGGCCAGAAGTTAATGCACCCTATAACAAAAAAAATACCTTGGAAATGAGAAGTTTCTCAAGAAAGGAAAACATACAGACGCTAGCCTGTATTTTAAATCATTACACACACATTTCGTTTGTTTTCTTTTTTTTTTTTTTTAAACAGCTAAGATCAGGTAAGAAACAATGCCAAGAACTGGAAAACTTAATATTTCTACCTCAGCAGGTACTTGGTAGAAACGAAACTCCAAAATGTTCATCTGGCACAACCGTGAAAACAATTTTCTTGGTGTACCTTCTCTTCCATCAAAACCGTTTTCAACCCCCTTCGGTTTAAAAGTTTTCACAAGGAAAGTAGAATGGAGATCAGTTCTGCTCACAGTCAGCTCTGCGTCAAATGCCCTTCCCTGGCCCCTCCCAAGCAGGCGACTCCACCACTTAACCCTGCTTCAGTTTCCTGGCATCACACATAGACTCAAACCTTTGTTTTTTAATCCAACTTCCACTAGAGTGGGCTCCCTAAGAGCTGGGCTCTCGTCCCTCTGTTCACCACGGTCTCACTGTGCTTGTATCAATACTGACACACAGTAGGCACTTCACAAATGTGTGTTGACAGTAAAACCATCACCGAGAGAAGGGACATAGAATGTGCTACCTGAGCCATCACGTGTGTCCCTGTGGTCCCCAAAGGCGCCAAACCACTGCTGAGCTCAAGTCCCTTCTCTAGCTAGAAGAAACCTCTGTTGGGCGCCCTTTCTTCTTGGAAAATTCAGAAGCAGCCTGTAGAACCTACACCCAACTCACTCTCTCAGACTAAATGCTCAAAACCTTCTTGTCTTGAACACACACACACACTCTTTCTATCCACTTAAGTCCACGGAGTGCACCAGTGATGGTCCAAACGCTGGTCGCCTGCTCCTAACTCCTCCCCTATCCACCGCCCCTCCACTCAAAGGCTGACTGATCTCTCAAGCCCCAGATCAAACGCCGTCTCTTCCATGAAGTGTCCCCAGACAGCACAAAGTCTCGTCTCCTCTTCCCTCAGGGCTTCTCAGCTGTTTATACTGGACCTTCACAGCACCAATCAAGTCACTCTCCTCGTATTACGTCCATCTCTCTGTCTCCCTCCCCTGAGTCATGAATTCTATCCTGTAAACAACTGTTTATTTTTCATCTTTGTTTTCTCCTCAGTACTGAGTAGGAGCACAATGTGAGTTACCTGAATTTGACAGGACCAGAGAGATGTGCAGGGTTTGGGATGTATGAATGGAATTAAAAGCCTTTATCTCCACTTCTATGTGCTCTGGAGCATTTTAATTTTTTTTCACTATTAACAACTTATTTATTTATTTTTCAACTTTACTGAGGTATACTTGACAAATAAAAATTGCATATATTTAAGGTGTACAACAAGAAATTTCGTGTGTGTGTGTTTTTTTTTTTTTTTTTTTGGTGAAGAAGATCAGCCCTGAGCTAACATCCATGCTAATCCTCCTCTTTTTGCTGAGGAAGACCGGCTCTGAACTAACATCTATTGCCAATCCTCCTCCTTTTTTTCCCCCAAAGCCCCAGTAGATAGTTGTATGTCATAGCTGCACATCCTTCTGGTTGCTGTATGTGGGACGCGGCCTCAGCATGGTTGGAGAAGCGGTGCATCGGTCCACACCCGGGAACAGAACCCGGGCCGCCAGTAGCGGAGTGTGTGCACTTAACCGCTAAGCCACGGGGCTGGCCCCTACAAGAAGTTTTGATATACGGTTACATTGTGAATGAGTACCACAATCAAGCTAATTATCACATCCATCACCTCACATAGTTACAATATTTTTGTGTGTGGTGAGAACACTTTAAGATCAACTCTCTTAGCAAATTTCCAGTTCACAATTCAGTATTGTTAACTACAGTCACCATGCCGTACATTAGATCTCCAGAACTTACTCATGCCACGTAACTGAACATCTGCACCCTTCAGCCAACATCTCCCCATTTCCCCCACCCTCAGCCCCTGGCAACCACCACTCTACTCTCCACTTTTACAAGTTCGACATTTTTAGATTCCACATATAAGTGAGATCAGGCAGTATTTGTCTTTCTGTGTCTGGCTTATTTCACTGAGAATAATGTCCTTCTGAAGCATTAGTTTTTTGAATTTTTGTGTGTGTGTGTGAGGAAGATCAGCCCTGAGCTAACATCCAATGCCAATCCTCCTCTTTTTTTGCCGAGGAAGATTGGTGCTGGGCTAACATCCATGCCCATCTTCCTCTACTTTACATGGAACACTGCCACAGCGTGGCTTGACAAGCGGTGTGTCCATGCATGCCCAGGATCCAAACCCGCGAACCCCGGGCCACAGAAGCGGAGTGTGCAAACTTAAGTGCTGTGCCACCAGGCCGGCCCCCTTCTGAGGCATTTTGAAACTATCCTTATCGTTCAATGGTCACCTCTCCATGTAATGAAGGAATATTTTCCCTTTCCTCTGTACACTTTAAAGAATGGGAACAGGAATTAGACTGTTGACATCCACACAGAGTAGTTACAGGCAGAAGATAATACCTGTTCTCTCTGTGACAGGGGTGGGACCACATGTGACCCACAACAGAGGAATGAGACAAGCAGAGCCGTGTCATTCTGCTTGTCACAGTGAGCCCGTGGTCAAACCAGACCCAGGACTATTTGCTATTTGCTCACCAGTACACAGAGGTGAACAAATATACCCTTCCCAACCTGGGGGGGTTTGTGGGGCAATAATCCAGAGCTTCCAGTCAAATCACAGAATTACTACTGAACTCAATTCTCGAAGCTTTGCATTTGGGATGTGTCAACTGGAAACCCTCTGTATCTGTAAGGGGGTTCAGAATATTAACTGTAAGAGGCATCACACAAGGAGACTTTTCCCTCGTTGGTGTGTTTCTTTCTTTCTTTCTTTCTTTTTTTTTGGTGAGGAAGATTGGCCCTGAGCTAACATCTATTGCCAATCTTCCTCTTTTTTTGCTTGAGGAACATCAGCCCTGAGCTAACATCTGTGCCAATCTTTCTCTATTTTGTATGTGGGTCGCTGCCTCAGCATGGCTGATGAGTGGTGTAGGTCCACGCCTGGGATCTGAACCCATGAACCTGTGCCACTGAAGCAGAGTGCACCAAACTTAACCACTACACCAGGAGGCCAGCCTCTGGTATGTTTATTTCTTATCACCCACGGAGATGTACGTACGGCAGAGCTCACATTTCAGCTCATGGGCTGTGGTACTTAGCGCCCACGTGGAGGCCCTGAAGTTTCTTAATTATTGATTCAAGAGGGCATAAAACCAAGCCCCGTCACACTAGAAAGCTGAAGGTTCCCCGACCTGATCTGCTGAGAGATCCTTCTGACCAGAGGGTCTCACTAGTTCTCACGCCCAAGAAAAATCTCTCTCCCGTCCCACACCACCATCTATGAACAACTCTCACTTTCCTCAAACGTACAGAACAGACCCTCCACCATGGGGTCGCCAACTCACCAAGAACCTGCCCTGCTCTGAATGTTCAGACTGATGGGATGGGTGAGGCTTTACCACCCCCTTGGCATGATTTTTGGTCTCAACTCCGGAAGGTGGTCATGGCTAAAAGTCACCTCCAGACCTCCCCCAGCTACTTCCAGGGTGTGAGTTACTGAAACCTCTCAGGAGATGTCCCCATACGGCTTCTTCCTGGGCCAGCTCACCAGACTCACGTCCTTCATTCATTCAAAGCCAAGACTTGGGCTCCCTGGATTTTTCTCCCCGCCAGGGCTCTAATTAATATCTGTCAGGTCCAGACAAGGTACCTGTGCATCTTCTGATAATGCTTAAAATTAACCAGGGACATTCAGATCTGAGAAGTGTGGTAGCCAGCCTCCAAGATGGCCCCCACAACCCCCGCCTCCTGGGATTCACACTCTTGTGTGGTCCTTGCCCCTATGGTACCAGGATGGGTCTGTGTGACTAAGAGATTACAGAGGAAGTGATGGAGCATCACTTCTGGGATCAGATGATAAAAGTCACTGTGGCTTCCATCTTGGTTGTATGCAATTAACTACATGCTCTCTCTCTCGTTTTCAGAGCATTTGCTCTGGGAGAACCAGCTGCCACGTTGTGAGCAGCCGGCGGAGAGGTGTGTGTGGTGTGGGACTGAGGCCTCTCGCTAACAGCCACTAGTGAGTTTGCAAGCGAGTCCTCCTACCCAGGCAAGCCTTCTGAAGACAGCAGCCCAGCCAACAACTTACTGCAGCCTCGGCAAACACCCTGAGCACCAGAAACACCTAGCTAAGCCGCTCCCAGATTCCTGACCCTCAGAAACCGTGTGAGATAATAAATGTTGGTTGTTTTAAGCTGCTAAATTTGGGGGTACGCAATCATAGATAACCAATACAAGAAGGAGGATGTTTTTGCTTATTCTATGTCCCCCTGGAATATATAAAAAGGGCATTTCTATCTGTGAAAACTAAGCTTTCTCCCCAGCACCTCACACAGGGCCTTACACTGGCTAGGCAATCAACAAACACGTGATGAGAGTAAAACTTCAAATGAACAGATTCTATTTCAGTTGTACAACATAGAAGAAAATGGCAAAAGGACCACTAAGATTCCCAGAAAACACCAAAGTCGTCAGCTTAGAGTAGAAGGTCAATGGTCATATCACAGCAAGTTTTACCTTCAGCTCTGATAACGTTGTGGGTGTAAATTTACATTTGCAGAACTCCCTCTAAAACTCTTGCACATATGTACAAGGAATCATACACAAAAACATCTGCAGCGGTGCTATTTGTAACAGCAAAAAAACAAACACTAAATATCCATGAACAGTGAACCTGTAAAACCTGTGGCATGTTTAGAAGTCGAAATCTGGGCACCAGGTGTGCACAACGGCATCGGAATGTGACGGCTGCCAGACCCACAGTGGACACAGATAGGGAATATTAGGCGTGTATGTCTGTACACACACACACTGTACACACATATCCACATATTTCTACAACTAATCTACTGAAAACCATGAGCCACATCAATGTCTCCAATTCCCACTCAACCCCATGAAGTTCATTCTGGTGTTCTCTCCGTATCTGACGGTGAGAACCCTGGCTCCCAGGACCCTTATTATATTCACTTACCTGATCAACCCCCCTGCAGGTAACTAATCTCCCACTTCCACCAGCACTCCCTCTCCACACACACCCTCCTCGGCCCTCCTGGGCTCTGCCACCCCACACGAGGCCGCCCTCTGCCAAAGGGCCTCTGCACCCTGCCTGGACTCTGACTCTGCAGGCCAGGCAGCCTCGTCTCACAGCCTCACTCTCAGGCCACTTAGACCGGGGCTCTGTGTGGGTGCCCTCGACATCCTGCTTGGGCTCAGACACCTCACGCTGGACTGCCTTTTGCATGGACACCCTCGCTGCACTTGGGCTGCCCACACTGGGGCATTCCCTCCGTGGATGCCCTTCTCACCTGCTCTGGCCCTGTCACCCCAAACCAGATCCCCTCCTGTGTACAGACACTTGCCTCACCCACCTGGGCTCTGACTCCCCATGCCAAGCTGCCATCCTGTGCAGACACCCTCCTCACCCCGCTTGGTCACTGACGTCCCCACACATGGACGCCCTCCTCACCTTGATCAGGCTGTAACACCCACAGCAGGTGGCCCACCTTCAACTGCTGATGCCCCTAGCTCTGCCCCACGTAGTGGCTTCCGGACTGAATTGTTCAGGAAGAAGAAGGTGAAATTCTAATTTAACTTTTTTTTTTTTTTTTTGGTGAGGAAGATTGGCCCTGAGCTAACATCTGTTGACAATCCTCCTCTTTTTTTGCTTGAGGAAGATTGTTGCTGAGCTAACATCTGTGCCCATCTCCTTCTATTATGTATGTGGGACACCGCCACAGCATGGCTTGAGCAGTGTGTAGGTCTGCGCCCCGGATCTGAACCTGCAAACCCCGGGCTGCCGAAGCAGAGCACACGAACTTAACCACTACACCACCGGGCTGGCCCCTAATTTAACATTTTTAAGAGATTAAATGTTTTCAAAGAATATTTGCTGTAGGAAAATGCTCTGAACTGTTAATTTCTTAAACTTAAAACGCACTGTACAAAGTATGAAAATACAGATAAGGAAACGAACACATAAAGTCACGTGGAATGTAACTTACAGATGATCTTTATTGGTATCTTGGTATATTTACAGTCTTCTAACATATTTTCTATACACACACAAACAACATCCCTTTTTTAAAAGGTGATCATTTCTAAACGCAATTTACTTAACTAGATCAGAAATATCTTTTTATGTCAGTAAGTACATATTATCATATCAATGGCCACAGGGCTTTCCATTTTATTTTCTTACCATAATTCATTTAACTCTCCTCTTGCATTGCACATCTAGCGTATTTCCAACTGCTCATTCTCGAATGGAGCAGTGAGTTGCTGGCCAAAGGGGAACCAGTATTCTAAGGCTGTTGATACAGGATGACAAATTCTTCCAGACAGAGTTGTCTGGGTTCAAGGACGAGGAAGTGCAGGGAGAGTTATACAATGTATAGTGTGTAAGTGTTAGAAGCCTGCCAGGCAGGAGGGACCAAAAGCCCCCAAAAACACTGCAAAGAGAGCTGGGGCAGCCTCCCCAGCTCAGAGGGCCAGGCTGTGGGGCCCGAGTGGAGCAAGCTCTGGGTCTCCCAGGGGAAGGGAAGCTCCACTCACCTGCGCACAGGCCTTCAGGGGCCCTGGGGGCTTCTCATCCTGCTCGTCCATGCTCTCCTCCAGCCACGGGCAGGGGCCTGAGGTCCTGAGCTGCAAGAAGGGAAGCCCTGAGTACAGCGCCACCATGCAGGTCCAGCATGGAGCCCCCCTCCCTGGATAAGTCTCTGCTCCCAGGATGCACTCCCCATGGTGAATGTGTTTCTAGAAGCTCCTGTCCCAATAGCTGTGCATGCACCTCGAATCCCTCTCCCAGGCCAAGACTTGGCAGCTCCAACCTGGTTCCTCCACTGCTGCTGGCCTCTGGGCCACTTACCCCTAAGTCCACCTCCTGCCCAAATGCAGCCTTCCGCCTACCACCAAAATCTGCAGCACAAATCAGTCCCTCCCTACCCCCTGGGTCCTGGGGTCCCCACAAACACCCAGCACACAGAGGACCCCCTAGTGTGCACCCTTTTCCCCTCAACCTGAATCTGCAGCCCCAAACCAGCACCTAGGGAAGCAGCGGGGCTCTGGGATTATGGCCCAGAAGCCCCCTCCCTGACTAAATGCACAAAGCTCGAGACACAGCCTCAACCTCCCAGGATCTACCCTCCCGTTAACCAGCCTGCCTCTGCAGCAACCCTCACAGACTGCCTCCCACTTCCTGCTCAAATGGCCAAGCACACACACAGAGCTCCATGCACCCAGAACCTGGGCCCTCCACCACCCTGGGGTCCCTACCAGAACAGCACCAGATTCCCATCCCCAAACCCTCCTGGGCCCTGACTTCGTAGCTCTGGCCTGGTCCCTCCACCAACCTGGATGTTCTCGGGCCTGAAACGGCCACAGAGACTGGGACTGGGGGCCTCGTGACAGACACCAGCACAGGCCAGCCAAGGGCAGCCCCTCCCAGGCCCTGAATGTGTACAAGAGTAGCTCAGCTGTCTTTGTACGCGCTAGATGTTTCTGAGTCTGAGACAAGAACAGGCCCTGGCAAATCCCACTCTACGCACCCCAACCCTGCCCCATCTCTCCCTCTCACCCACTCCCCCACCCCCATTGGATTCTCATGCAAACAGTATAGTGTGGGTTCACAATGCAGCCCTACTCGAACCTGCACCCAAATCCAGTTTCTTCCACAGGCCCCTATTTGAGCCACATCTGCCCAAATCGCTGCCCAAACATCTTCCTGGGCATCTGCAGCTCAGGGAGATCCTGTCCTTCCACCAACCTGGGCATCATCAGGCTGTGATGAGGGCACCACCTGCACAAAGACCCCAGCATGCTCTGTCTAAGTCCCAACTCCAGGACAAACGCTGTGTGTGTGCACAGAGGGCCCCGGTGCAGCCCTACCCCTCTGCAGCCCAGAATCTGCAGCTGCTCCCTTCACCCACCTGGGCATCCTCAGGCAGTACCAGGCTCCTAGGACTGCCCATGTCCCCCCATTCTGCCCAGATGCCAGTGCACGCACGGGCAGAGTGTGCCTGGAGTAGCCTCGGCCCTCCCGAGACCAGAACCTGCAGCTCCAAACCGGGGCCCCAGGCTCCACAGCAGCCACCCCACAGGGCCACCCACCCAGGTTCCCTCCTCCTGCTGACACATCCAGAAACACACAGGGTAGGTTCACATCAGCATCTGCATCCAGGACCTGGGCCCTGCGCCAGCCCGGTGAGAGGGCAGCTCCCATGGCAACAGGGCCCCTCGGCTTCCTCCTGCCCAAACCTGAGCCCCTGAGTGCCACACAGAGTTCAGCCCCTTGCAGGTCCAAATCTGCAGCCCAGACTCTGTCCCTCTCCCACCCTGGGCAATCTCATGCCTGCAAACACAGCAGCCCCTGGGCAAAGGTCCTGGGAACACCTACTTCGTCATCATGCCGGCAGCATCCTGCTTCCTCCCCAGGCAGCTGTCGATCTGATGCCAGCTCCTGCAGCTCTGTCCTTCCAGGGCTCAGAGTCTGCACCTCCAACCCAGCATCTCCACCAACCCTCCATGCCCCAGGACTCTGCACCACCCTACGTGGGTCCCGGGATTATCCGTCCAAGTTCCTGCTTCGCATTCAGACACCCCCAGCAGATGCAGGGAGCGCTCTGCCTAGCACCTGCCTCTAGGCCCTGGTACCCCCCTCAGCCTGGGAGTCTGCAGTCCATCAGCGGCTCCCACCGAGGGCTCGCTGAAGTAGCACTGCCTCTCCTGGGGCAAGAATCTGCAACTCCAACCTGGTCTCTCCACTAGCCAGGGCGCCCCCAGGCCTGTGAGAAGAGTAGTGTCTGCTCCAGGGTCCCAGGGCCAACTGCCCAGAATATCGCCTCCCACCTCGTGCTTCCTACTCAAACCCCTGCTCAAGCGTGTAGGGACCGCGGCCCAGACCCTCTCCTCCAGGAACCAGAAGCTGTAAGGAGGACTCCATGAACCCGGTCGTCCTCCGGGCCTCCACTAAACAGGAGCGGCACTGGAGGAGGGGGACGCGGGGTTCTCAGGGGATCTCCGCACGCGCGTGCATACGGCGTGGCTTCCACCACCCCGGGCATCCTCAGGCCCGGGACAGGACCAAGACCTGACCGAGCATCCAGGCACGCGCGCAGAGCACAGTCCCGCCCGCCGCAGCTGCACCAGTATCACCAGCCATTTCGGTCACCCAAGACTAAAGCGCCGCCCCCGCAGGTCCCAGAACGCCCACCCACACACCCCATCCCAGCTTCCCGCCTAGACCCTGCGCATGCGCGCACGGGACTCCCCGCCGCCCCGCCCCTGACCAACCTGGGCGTCCAGGGCCTCGCGGCCCAGGCTGGGCCTGTCCCAGCCTCCGTGCCCGGCGCGAGTCTGCGGCAGGAGGAGCTCGGCTTAAGCCACCCCTGCTCCGATTCTGCACACGACAGACTCGGCCTAAGCTAGCTCGGACCCTTCCCCTACTCGGCATCCACACTGCCGCTCGGGTTAACCTGCGAAGGGCCGAGGTGCACAGCAACAGCCAGCGTCCGCGCGCAGGAAAATGGCTGCGCCTCTGGCCGAACCCGGAAGTGCGTTTGGGCTTGGCGAGCCGGAACTACAATTCCCAGAAGCCTCAGCGGCGCGGGTGGCGATGGGACGGGGCTCCAGCTCCTCCGGGACCGCGGGCGCGGGGACGCGGCTGGAGAAGCAGCGGGCGTCAGGTTCGGGTGCCGGTGGTGTTGCGACTGCGCGGGTCCCGGTTCGTGCGGGGCACCAAGACCGGGGCACCAAGACCAGGGCACTGATGCACGGGGAGTGGCGGACTTGGGAACGGCTGGCCCTGGGCCCGGCTTGACGCCCGCGAGTGGCCCTGAAACGGGATCAGGAGGGAAAGGGCGGGGACCCCTCCCGGGCGCCTGCTGCCTTGTCAGACGCTGGGCGCGCACCGTCTCCTTTGGTCCTTAAGGACCCGTTTTACAGTCCAGGCGCTTCCTATCAAGCCCTTCAAGAATCTCATATGTTTTCGCAGTTAATAGTAATAGTAAAATAGTCATAATCCTTTTGTTTTTTAATTTGAGTTCTTTCTCTGCCTATAAGGCCTTAAGGATCTGTACCCTACCCCTCCCCTTTTCTCTTTACCTTCATCTCCTGACCGTTTTCCTGGCTCTGCTCCAGCCACGCTGGCCTTTCCACGTTCTGCAACCACTCAAGCAGGCTCCTACCTCAGGACCTTTGCATATGCTGTTCATGCTGCCTGCCCTGCTCCTCCCTTGAGAATTGCACTTGGCTCTCCCCATCTGGTCTTTAGGAAGATGTCACCTTCTCATGAGGCATTCTCCCACCAACCATTGTAAACTTGCAGACAAACCCTTCACTCGCCACCTACTCCCTGTCTCCCTGTGCATCTTTGTTTTTTTTCTAGAGAAGTTTTCACTAACACACTAAATACTTTTGGTATACATTTGGTCTATTGTCTGTCTGCCTTCACTACTAGACTGTCAGCTCCATAAGGGAAAGGATTTGTATCTATTTTGATCACTGCTGTCTCCCCAACGCCTAAGGTACCTGGTACATAATAGATGCTCAAGAAATATTGCTTTTGTTTTGAGTAAACAAAGGTTCCTGGTCGTATGTTAAATACTGTTAACATCTCATTAACTGGCACGCTCACCCTGTGAGGAAATTGTGATGTTTATCTCCACTCCTCCAGGGGGGAAGCTGAAAATCGGAGCCCTACTGTATGAAGATATGGTATTTTAAAGTTATTTTCAATGCTGTCAACACACTCCTGTAGTTTTCCTCACAAATTCTGACCTTTAACAACAGCAAAAAATTATTGTTATTTCAAGTGTAATCTCTACCCCCAACGTTTTTTATAATTGGTTATTGTGGTTGGTTTTTTTAAATATTCATTTTGTGCCTGGTTAACCTACTGAAATGTTATGCATTCTTATGGCATTCCATTTGATCCTCTTGACTTTCTAGTGAGACAATCATCTACAATAACAATTTCATCTCTTCCTTACCAGTATTTTTCACCAGATATTCCCTTTCATGTTGGATTGCGTTGGCTACCATTTTCAAAATAATGTCACTAAAAGTGGCATTCTTGTTTGTCTTCTCTTTTTAACGGGCAGGGCTTTAATGTTTGAGGGTTAAATATGATGTTGGTTTTTAAATTGAAGTAGGTAGCTTATTATTTTTTTAACTTTTTATTATATGAACTTCAAACACAAAAGTAGAGAGCCTAGTTTAATGGCCCTCCCCCATTGGCCTATCATGCAACTTAATTTTTCTCTCCCTCTTGTGTCATCCTCTGTCCCCACCTGTGCTTTTCACCCTCCTCATCTTCCAATGATTTTGAAGCAAATTCTGCATATTATTTCATTTCATCTGTAAATATTTCAATATCTGTCTAAAAGATAAGGACTGGTTTTAAAAACAGAACTTCAATGCAAAATAGATATGTTATAAATGTTGGGTACAGAGAATACAAAATTCCTATTATTAAAAGATATCATTACAAACCAGAAGGCTCAAGAGAATTAACTAAAAGAAATTAACGTCAAGGAGAGTTTGGAAAGTCATTGACTATGAAAGAATAGTAATAAACACTTAGTGTAAAACCCTGTGCCAGGCACTATTGTACTGTTCTTATATATATTTCTCTTTTAGTCCTCATAGCAACTCTAATGAGGCTGGACTATTATTTCTATTTTACAGAAGATGAAACTGAAGCCTAGAAATGTTGAGTAACTTACCCTAGATTGTATCATAAGGGCAGAGCTGGGAGTTGA